AATTTAACTCTACATAGAAATAGTTCTCCCATTAATTCCAAAACGTAGGGGCATGGGTTCTCAATTTTGGTCTCTATTTTTTCCCTCTTCTCATATATGGGGGATTGTTATCTAAAGAACGAGTTGATTATACTGTGATTATTTGAAGAAGAAATGGAACCAAATCCATGAATATGTTAAAGTTAAGCATCGACCTGTGGAGATAATATAACCCTTCACGATGTTGGCCCATCCCAATAAGCTTCTTGAAAGGTAAGTCCTGAATAACACAGAAGTTGCTTAGCAAGATGCCACTCGAAGATCAGCCTTGAGTTTACTGACGGATAGCTAGTTGCATTGGAACTCTGGCCCATGCAATACTCTTCGCAGAGTGACATCTTTAGAAGGATGAGTAGACCCTATACTGTGAACCTTAATACCTATACCATTGGGAATACAAACCTGAAGAGCTGGGGATTGATCATGTTCCTCGAACATTAAAGATGCATCATTAATTATACGTTCATTACAGCCACTTTCAATCTCCCAAGAGTATTTAGATGGCGAAATTGTACATGCCATGTTGAATACATGATCGAGAGGAGTGTGTGGACTAACTTGACGATCTAAACCGAGGAGGGCCTGCAATTGAGAGTATTGCCCTGCTGAATGACCGGGAATATGGCTCACGGCAGCATCACCATGTGCTTCCCTAGGTGGAGGATTGTGAATGCGTCAACGGGGCTGGTCAGATTTGTCTGTGGACCGCGGAAGAAAATCGTGTACCTTGAAACACGTCTCCCGGAAGTGGCCAAATTTTGAGTGGTGGGAGTAATAGGGGCGCTTGTGAGCATCCGCTCTCCCTGAACAGCTGGTGGATTCTGCAGTGGCCAACTATCTCCTTTGGCCTAGAAGGCTGCTGCTTCAGAGTGCAGCCTACGTTGACTGGCCACGTGGCGTTGTTGGTCGTCGTTAGTGACCATGTGATATGCTTCAGCAACATTAGGAAGAGGATTCATGGCTAAGATATGTGACTTGACGATAGAGAAAGTTGCATCAATTCCCATAAGAAAATCAAAGAGTCGTTCCACTTCACAATCCTCCCACTATCAACGTTTGACATCGCAAGTGCAATTCTTATACGTGCAATCAATAGATGGAGCATCGACCTGTGCTTGTTGTTCGTCGTTAGCGACCATGTTATATGCTTCAGCAACACTAGGAAGAGGATTCATGGCTAAGATATGTGACTTGACGATAGAGAAAGCTGCATCAATTCCCATAAGAAAATCAAAGATTCATTCCACATCACAATCCTCCCACTATCAATGCTTGACATCGCAAGTGCAATTCTTATACGTGCAATCAATAGATGGAGCAAGGGGCGCGATCTCGTCCCAAAGACCACGAAGTTTGGTATAGAATGCTGCAACTGAAGATTTTTCCTGGTGGAGAGAAAGGATTGTGCGACGAAATTCGTAGAACTGAGATGCACTACCATGTCCAAATCGTGCTTCGAGATCAACCTAGATTTTACAAGGAGTCTTTGCAAATCGAACGCTGCTGCATACCTCCTTGCTCAAGGAGGTTTTGAGTCATCCCTTCACCATTGTGTCACATTGTCTCCATGCTAGGTATGGCAACGGGTCAGGTCGGGGGGTGGATAGTGCATATCGGTTACCCTACCCAAAGTAGTTCGTGTTTTACCTATACACATACTCACATAAGAATCGAGTAGAAACTTAAGATCATGTTCATACCCGTTCGGGTTTCGGGTATCCACGGTTATCCATGGGTAATAATTTCACGTTATTACTCCAACCAACATGTTAACATTCACTCTTATACTCACCTATATAAGTGGAAAAATATGACAATAATTCACAATAATGAAGAAAATTAATTTCAAACAACACAATTTCATGAAAATATTATATTTGTATGTTAAATATAAAATATGTCGAGAAAAATAATGATAATTTCTAGACAAAATACATGTGCATGTGTATAATCGGGCAGATTAGGGTTGGATAGTGAGAAAATGATGTGCACCCATTATCCACAATATACGGGTTCCAGTTTTACCCGTACCCACTGAAAATCGTTCGAGTTTGGGTTTTACCCTATCCGATTAGATCTGATTCGGGAGAATATCCATGGTTTCATATATTGTTTTCGTCCCTACTTCACGCATCATGTTCCGGATCATATGTCGGAGTTGAAATATGATCATCCACAAACCCGATTTTTTTCTTCGCAATCAACGAGTCTATGAATGTGATGTCACCGAACCATTCTCCGTAGTTGAGCTTAGTGAAAAGATCGCCAACATAAAGTTGGCTTGGATTATCCGATCGATGAAGGATGTATGGCAACGCTGACACAATAGCTTTGATTCTCCACCTTTGCCTGTGGGTTTCTCTTCGTTGTCAGACATGATGATGATAGCTGTGAATCGATATCACAGCTCCGATACCATGAAGAATTTGACAATGCGGAAATACAAAATAACACGGGATACAAGATGTTTACGTGGTATCCCTGTTTGACGTGAACATGGCTAATCCACGGAGGGTGAAACCACTCTCAAGCTAATGATATTATTAGGTTTAGAGATGATGAGAGAGTTAGGGTTCTCGACCACTGATTACAATTATATATATGGTGTTGGCTAACGTATGCCAGGTGTAAGCTTACCTTACTGTACGCCCGTCCATTTTTGTTATTTAGATCTTGAATTAGTCGGAGTTTGGGGCATGATACTATACTCTAACCTCTAATGGGTGAATCTCAATCCCTAATTCTCTAACCCAAACCATAAGATTCATTTAATCTCAAAATGAAAATCAAAGGTTCCGATTCGTCAAATTATCAAAGTACAAATAATATGTGTGCAAACAGAAGTATAGCATAATAGAGGGAGAATTACCATCCACACTCCTAACTAACAAAAGAAGACAATCAAGGACTAAATTACCCGGAAATAGTTTAAAACTATTTTCACACTCCTAACTCATAAAAGATGTTCAGATAAAACTAAAGATGTTCAGATAAATTTAAAACTATTTGTGCACGAATAGTACTAGCCTTGTTGTGATTCTTAAAAGTACAAGAGAGCAATAGTTAAAGAAAGTTCGGATTAGTATTTTGCCTCCAAAACAACTATATAAATTAGGGTTATAGGTATAATATGCCCATCTACTATGACGTTTTATCAAACATGCCCCTCTACTATTTTTCACATCAAACATGCCCCTGTACTTTGGAAAACTTATCAAACATGCCCTTTTGTTAAAATTTCCATCCAAAAACTGTTAACCAAGACCGAACTTTGGTTTGGGCGACCCAAATATCTAAAATATCCCTTATAATTTCACTTTAAAGTTTTTTTGGTTCTTTTTATTTTTTTTATGGATGTTTTTTTTTGGTTCTTTTGTATAGCCAAATAATTCTAATAATTTCACTTTGATGAGAGAAATAAAACAAGGGTCAAAACTGACATTTTCCCTCCCATTTATCGATGTCGGGTCGTCTAAATCTCGGTTCAACCATGATTGACGATTTTTTCGATGAAAATTTCAACTGAAGGGCATGTTTGATAGTTTTTCCAAATTACAGGGGCATGTTTGATGTAAAAAATAGTAAAGGGGCATGTTTGATAAAACGTCAAAGTAGAGGGGCATATTATACCTATAACCCTATAAATTATGATTGCTAAAAACAAGGTTGAATTAGAATGTTATGAGATGATGAACCGATTTTATGAGTTCTCATTATATTGATACAATAGTTTAACATGTGAGTGATAGTAATTATTTTATTGGGAATTATAATTTGTACTCATTATGTCTCTGAGAGACGAGCTTTTTATGAAGTAAATGTTTTGATTGCTTTTCTATATCCCGTTAGGAATATGTAGTGGCAATTTAACCTAACAAGGGCTCAAGATAGGGTGAGTAATAATGAGTAACCAAATTTGGATCATTCTTTTAAGTGACTGCAGATCTAAGGGTGGAGAATTAAAGGAATTTATTTTCTCTAGTTTTCTTAATTGGATCATATCTTTTTCATTCTAACTCGGTTTCAGTTTTTTTTGCATAGATGGAACGAGTTCGTTGTGCTCTACAAAATGATATCCATTTTCAATATTTTTTGAGAAAAAAAATTTCATCTCTCTCATTACCAACTCCATACCATATGGTATCTCCTTCGTTGTTTAGTAATTTTCGGAAATTTTTGCACAAAAAGAACGATTTAATCATGATCTATTGGATTTCAAAATTTTATGGGGGAAAAAATTTCAAACCTCTCGTTACCAACTTCATACCATACTATACCACCCTGGTATGAGGTGGCATTTTTCATACCATATGGTATGCTGTTATTTAATATCATATGGTATTGACTGGTATTAAATAACAACATATGGTATTGACTGGTATTTTTCATACCATATGGTATGCTGTTATTTAATACCAGTCAATACCATATGGTATTGACTATACCATATGGTATAGACTGGTAATAACTGACAAATTTTTTTTTGTTCCAAAAAATATCAAAGTGGATATCATTTTGAAGAGTACAATTAATCTGATCTATTGTGCAAAAAAAAATTAAATTTCGAGTTAAAACGAGTGAGAAATCGTCCGTTAAAGATTAAGAGAAAGAAAATTAATGATTTTTCCAGGAGAGAGAAGGAGGCACTGATGTGGCAGATTTTTATTGGGTTATGCATGGGGTTACTCACCATAAGGTTACTCACCGGATCTGTTCCAGTATTAGAGTATGGATAATTAAATCTTAGATTAGCCCAAATATGTGGGACTTGTGTCATCTGGTATATTGGTGAAATTGGTTGTTAATAGAGCTTCTGACCCGAGTTTTACATGGACAATCATATCAATAGTCAATAGATGATTCATCGCGTGTAAGTCGGATTGGGGGAAATTGAAAGTGATTGGTGTGCTTTCAATGTGATTGGAGGAAGACTTGTGAACTATGACGAGGAGATGATAGAATTTTCATGGAAAAGACGAAAAGTGGACATAGAATTGACGAAATCATGATTGATACAATGATAATTTTGGCCACGAAAGTCCGAAGGAGCTCTTCAGGCTCTACAGTCCCATTTAAACAGTCTAGTACACCCATAAACTTAATTACCAGAAAAGTTCCACTAGATAATACCGAGGCCTCCCAATTCCAAAAATTCAAGCCCAAATGAAATGGCATCATTCCATCATTGAGCGGGTATTTTGAAACTTCAAAGGCCATCTTAACCTCTCTGAACTCTCTGATTATCACCTACAGCTACTAACCTGACTAGTGGGAGACGAATTCCCTTTCTCGCTCGTGAAGAACTCATTTTCTTCAGCTTCCAACCCATCTGCGAAGAAAGCATTGCTAACACTCGGCTCAGAGCTACTAGCATTGCTGCTCGTTGCATGGGGGGATTCCGACGCGCTAACTGTTGTCCTGCTTCTTGTGGATCCACCTGCTGATCTCACACTGTACATTGACGATGCAGGTATGTTGGTCATCAGTGGCCGTAGCTTGCCTGTAATGCTTCTTCTGATATCCTGCTCAGCAACAAAGCCCTGTTGAATTCGTTTGCAAGTTGCCAACACTCGTTCAACGCAACGATATAAAGCTTAATAAGTAAGAGAATGGCGTACCATATGCCTCAAAGCCATGTCAAGAGACTTCTTTGACAGCGATCTGCCCAAGTTCCCAGCAGAATTGCTTTGGGAAGAGCGATAATCATCATGCTTGGGTGGCGCCAGCTTTCTCATGTTGACCACTCTTTCAACCATTTGGGTTCCCATCAGCCCCGGATTCAAATCTTCGCCACCATCATACATCTGACTTGATCTGCTGCTCTTGATGGAAACAGGAAGCTTACTGCCAACCGGGCCACTCCCATGTGTTGAAGTTCTCACTCTAGCAGGTGAGCACGACTGCTGCCTTGGTCTTCCATTCGCAACAGCAGCTGCAGCTGTGGAAGATGATCGACCACCAGGCCTGCCCCTGGTAGCCGAAGCTGGCCTTTCTGGCAGCGAAGTCTTCAAGTTTGGTGGAGCATCGTGGGAGAAACCGGGCATCTCATTAGGTTTCCAAGGCCTCGGCTTCACCGTTGGAGAGCTCCCACGTGATGATGGAGGAGCTGGATTCTTGGATGGTGCTAGGGAAGCAGCTGATCTTGTCACGGAAGAGGATCTCGACGATGGAGTCGATGAGCGGGGCCTGGATGGAGTTGAGGATCTCGACGCCGTCCTTGAAGATGGTAAAGAGTGTCTGCTAGCAGTGGGTGTTGATGATCGTGAGGTGGTTTTTGTGGGCGTGGATGATCTTGCCCCTGAAGGTGCTGCAGCCGGTTTTGTTGACGAGGACAGTGTGGGGCGTGGTGTAGGAGTCGAAGATCGCGGTGCAGCCGGCCTAGATGAAGGTAAAGTGGGTCGTGATGTTGGTGTTGAAGGTCTAGAAGTCGGTTTTGATGCTCCGGTGGACGAAGATCTCCTATTACTACCAGCTGTAACGATGGGTTTAGCTGGTCCACTAGTCCTGGGAGGTGGCACTTCCTGAATATTAGTCAGCTGGAAAGTAAAACAGGATGATGTCAACATAAAGCAAAAGAGAGACGAACAGAACTCGATCAAGTAGAGACTAGAGAGTTCTCACCCTCGACTTCAGAGCAGTGGGTCGAGCAGTTTTCTGGGTATCCATCTCCGTCGTAGATGGGACAAGTGGGGTTCCAGGTGGTGTTATAAGCCTGAACCAAAAAGAAATTGCATACTAATATTCAGCTTCCGCAAGTATGTACACGAATCAAAAGCGATTAATTAACGCAAACTATTTGTTTCGTTTCCATGGTGGAGAAGTAGTTGCTCGTAAAGAAGGAACAAGAATTAACAGCATAATCAAGTCAACTGATCCAGAAATAGCAAGTTTCAGAGGCATGTGTGTTCATCCCCAGTTAGCTACTCCCAATCATATATACAAAGAAATTGAGGATACATGTAGCCAAACAGGAATGGCATTGGATGAATGAATTGAGTTTTGACAATCGCAGAAACTATGATCCAGTTTGATCACAAGCAACAGCTTAGTGAAGATCAAATCTCGACGAGCCACAGGGACGTTAGATTAGATCCTTAATCATTTAAGCTGAAATGCGCCTAACGGATCTCAAGGGAGCGAATTGAAGCGCAGGGATATAGAACCCGTACCAATCATAATCAGATTTGTCATTCTCGGAGTCCAGAAATTTCTCCGCCGCAGTTCTGCGCTGCGGCCCCGTCTGAGTTAATGGAGGAATTCCGCCTTTGATCCCTGAAAACAGTAACAAAAACCATATGTGATCTCCGGGATACAGGAAAGAGATTAGATCGGCGGCCAAAAGATAGAAAGCGGGGCCGGCGCCCACCTAGAGGAGCATCCATTGTTACAGGAAAGCCTGCGACGAGATTGCTTCTCTCCTTCTCCTTCTCGCGTCTCCTGAGCTCCAAGAACAGAGCCAGCTCTTCGTCTTTCTCCTTCGTCACCATCTACAGTACTCCCTTCTTCTTCTTCTTCTGCTTCTTCACTTTCCACTCCTCTGCTCAGCAATTAAAGATTAAGGCAATCAAAAATCTCCCCGTGAAATGCTGCTGCTGCTGATGATCATTCAGCCGCCGAGAGTCAAAGCTGAAACGGAGATTTTCAAATATCGTTCCATCAACACATCTGAAAGATCAACACAAGGAAATATAGGGTCCTTACCGAGTCAGATTGAATCTACAACGAGAGACGGAGGTAATGACGCTTCAAACACAAGAAGGCGCGGAACTTCCGAGGGAGCAGCAATGGCGGAAGAGAGGCAAGTTGGAATGATAATCTGGTGGGGTGTGATGGCGAGAATCTACGGAAAGAAGCTGCGGGTAGAGCGGAAATTTGGGAAGGGGAAGAAGAGGAGAGAAAGAGCAGGTGAAAGGAGGGAGCGGCGAGGAGACCGTCCGTTTGTCTTCCTTCGTTTCCTTGTGGGCTGCGTTGGCGATTGGTTTGACTGACTGAGGATGAGGGAGGGAAGGAAGAGCGTGTATTTTGTTCCCGTTTTTCTGTTGCCACGCTGTGGTTGTATAGTATTGTATGTATCCATGACTTTTTTGAAAACTAAACAAATATTAAATAATAACAGTAATAATGATAATAAATAATAATTTCGATGGCAATTGATGGAAGGAAGGGCACGTAGTAATGGCGGATTTTTCAAACCTTTCTATCCAAATGTCCATTCCTATCAGAAGAATCACCATTTTGCCACTCTGTCCATCCATGAAAATGTTCTCTGCTCCTTCAATTTTGGAGTCCGGTTTGATGAAAACTTCTAGGGGTGGGCAACGGGACGGGACGGGATACCCGTCCCGTTTAAAACGGGTATCCAGTCCCATTTGGAAGCCAAAGTCCATCCCATATCCCAAATCTGTATGGGAAACGGGTACTCATTACCCGTGCGGGACGGATAACGGGTACCCATACTACCCATAAATACCCAAAGTAGAAGGGAGAAATCTGCAATACGAAACTCAATCGTCGATAACCTTTTCCCTGAGAGGAGGCAGAGGGGCGCCGAGCTCTAGCCTCTAGTCAACCCTAGTCAACTGTTCTGTTATGGAATTGGAAAGGGAAGTCCTGCCGAAATATGGGTTGGGTTATGTTCTGATTTGGGTCGGCTGAGTGAGAATGTCAGAATGAATAATGGGTTTAACGGGTACCCATATTACTCAAATGGGTATTCGCGGGTAACCCGCGGGTACCCAAAATCGGAATGTACAATCCCAAGTCCCATCCGTTGCTAATATTACGGGTAATATGGGTACCCATAACCCTCATAAAACGGGACGGGAACGGGTATACCCAAATACCCGTTTCCCGTTGCCCACCTAACAAATCAATTTGATATGATTTTTTAGTTTGGAATAATTGAATCAAATTCTTTCATTTCATAGTCTCAATTTTTTTTTTACAATTCATAGTCTCAAATTAGATGAATCAATTTGTTATGAATCTTCTCTGTATCGTTTCGATTATATCGGATATCCCAAAAGGAGAAAAGCAATTTGTTATAGATAATTTTGAATTAACTTTATTTTGATACAATTACAATAATCTTAAATGATTAATGGTGTATATAATTCCAATTGGCTGGTTATGTGACTTAAGGGTTCGTTACACTTATGGCTAATCTACTCTCATGCTTTTCAGTTTTCACAAAGGAGTCCAAGCTGGGCCAATACCGCATTATTTCGACAACTAGAACACGTCCAAAGACGGAAAAGGGCAAAATAATGAAAGTTAATATAAGGGCAGGCCCAGGTTCAAATCTGCACTGTTGGATTCCTTGAGATGTGTCAGTGAGCTTTAATCTGACGGCCATTGTTAAAATCGAACAACAAAGTTTTAAATCTTCCCCTCGTTCGTTGTGTTGACATGGGAAATCGTGTGGTTTCAATTTTGTGTTCTGCGTCTTGTTCTTTAGGAGGGCCCCACCGCAACCCTGACGAGTGACGACCCCACCAACCCGGTTACAAGGCTTTAATGCAAGGTTGTCAACCCGCGGGTTGACCCGGACCCGGTCGAGCTAGTGGGTCAAGGGTTAATGGGTCAACCGTTTTAGCCCGGTTTGGCTCGGAAATATAGAAAGAGTCATTATATTGCACTTATCCTCATAAATTATATCAAATCTTATCTAACATATGAGTTATAACATATAATATTACACCAAAATAACATATCGTACTTAGATCCAACATATAGTGAAAATTCACACACACTTATATAACATAAATATTCAAATGTTCAACTTAGTATTCCAAAGATTGAGTTAGGCGAAAAGAAAAATAGGAAAATAGGCGCATTTCGCAAACTAAAGAAAAAAATGACACAGTTTGACCTCCAACCCGATACCTAATAGCAATCGGCCAGGCGGGTACGTGCGGCCCGTTTTTCTCACCGGGCCAGGGTCAAATTGGGTCGACCCGTGGGTCAACCCGCGGGTTGACAACCTTGCTTTAATGATAATTCCGCTCATAGATCTTGTTTTAACAAAGTACTCCATCAAATATGTTTGGTAAGGCCAATTTGACTCCAACTTTTATGGGGTAAATTGCATGTTTGATAATTAAGATGAGGGTTAATATATTTGTATGGTCTGAACTTTGATCATAATAAACATCATGTTCAATCTTTTCAATCTATAACATCATGGCCCAAACTATACAGCAAAGTAACTATATTGGCCAAACCCGATATTTAACCGTTATTTTGAACGGTTAAACGCGTTGACTAACGGTCAACATGCCATGTCACCGTCCGGTCATCACAAAAATCATTAAAATATTCACAATTTACACATATTTTCTAACTTTGAATTATTACAATTAAATTAAAACAAAAATTAGAAAAAATTGAAACCCCCACCGTCGTGCCCGACCCCATAGATTCTCAGTCCGGAGATCCGCCGGCACCTGCAGAAATCGACGGAAATGAAAAATTCTCTATTCATTCCTAGTTCGCTAATGAAATTACAAATTAGGTTTATGTAACTTCTACTCGACAGAAAGCAGAAGACGAATAGGAGAAAAATTACACACCTTCTGTTTGAGCCTGGAATGTTCCAGGCGGTTTGTGAAGAACGAGCAAAGCGTCTGTTCCAGAGGGTGGGTGTACTCCAAACTACTGCAAAACAAGGGTCCGTGGGCGGTCACCCCGGACACCCTCCGATGCTAAAGTTAGAGAGAGAATAAGGTTTCTTGCTTATGTTAGAGAGAGAGAGTAGTTAAGTCACCATTAATGTAGATACCAATGTATTTATAGTCGGCTAGCTTGAGTATGATGCATTAAATGCCATGTCAGGCGGCCTAGATACGCCTTGCTTTATCTAGACCGCCCGCGGCGGGCATTTAATGCTTAGTCCTGCAGTATTCGAGGTAAGTATCCTAGGAGGATCTTCTCTTCCTGACACCAACGGTACTTTGTGTTGGGCGGCCTACTCCCTGTCACGTCGTAGGGTGACCGCCTGCCATTCTCCTTTCCCTATGTCCACTCTTGGGTCTCCCGCTGTGGCTCGGTCCCTTCTTCGGGCCCTGCCTGGTCGTCCCCCTATGGGCCTTAAGCCCAACACTGCTCAACTATGAGCCCAACAATTGCCCTTTTGTCGTGAAAAGCTGCGGGTTTTGGCGGCTACTAACTTTGCCAATGATAGTTGAGCGGTCTTCTGTACAACCGCTACCTACACCTTGCCCCTGGCCGTCCAAGAGACGGGGATTTTCTTATGATGCGCTCTACTGCCCTTGCTATGGCTCTTCCCTGGTTGACTAGTGTCCTACCTAGCGCGATCCGTCATCCCAATTCGTGAGCTTCTTTCTTCATGGCCGCGTAGTGATTTTGAGTGCTTGCACTATCCACCCCCTTTAGTTCGTGAGGAATATTAGGCGGTTCGCTACCTCAATCCGTGAGTTGCCTCCTTCCCGACTGTTCGATAATTTTAAGTGTTTGCGCTGTCCACCCCCTTTAGCCGTGTGAAATATTAGGCGGTGCGCTACCTCATTCCGCGAGTTGCCTCCTTCTCAGCTGTACAATAATTTTGAGTGCTTGCACTATCCACCCCCTTTAGTCATGAGGAGTATTATGCAGTTCGCTACCTCAATCCGTGAGTTGTCTCCTCGATTGTACAATATTTTGAGTGCTTGCACTGTCCACCCCCTTTAGTTCGTGAGGAATATTAGGCGGTTCGCTACCTCAATACGTGAGCTGCTTCCTTCCTGATTGTATGATAATTTCTGAGTACTTTCAGTGCGCGTCCGTCCGATTACCTTCCAGTCATCCGCGTCTCATGCGGTTCGCACCGTCTTGGATGCCGATTCAAATTCCGCGACTCGTCACACTGCCTGCATGTAGCACCACGTGTCGGTTCTCGGGAGTCGAGCTCTGACAACGGGAAATTCCCACATCCAATCACTTGCCCGCATTTTGAAATTCCTAGACTAGGGTTTTTCTCGGTCACCCAACTGTCGCGTCGCTGCCCCCCATTGCTCCTATTTATACTCGCTCTTCTTCCACTTTCTCCACTCTTCTTCTTCTTCTACCAGTACTGCTCCATCTTGTTCTCTTTCACTCTTCATCAAGATTGCTCGTTGCTCCCGATTTTTCCTCTCCTCTTATCTCTGAGATAATTCTTCCTTGTTGCCGGCCCGAGCAGACTTCCTTGCCCAACTTAGGCAAAAGCATAAACGAGCGAAGAGGAAACGAAAACAGCAAATGGCGATTGAATCTCAAAGCACCACCCGCTCCGATAGCCAGAATCAGAACCTTTCCAGCGACGTCGCCACCGTCACGACCTCTAGTGGCGCTGCCGCCGTTACGGCCTCTGGCGATGCTCGGACTTCCAGCGCTGGCGTCGGCGTTCCCCGCTCTTCCTCAAAGTATGGCGGTGGTTCATGTGGACCGCCTTCCGGGAGCAGGCAGTCTGTGCCAGGTACTTGACGCCTTCTCTGTTTTTCCTTTGATGCGTTCTTTTTAAGTTAGGTTTCTAGGGCTGTCCTATGTAAATTTTGACTTGCGCGGTCTATTTAGCAAACACTTAGGCGGTCTTTATTATGACCTCTTAGGAGTAGAACTTGATCCTGGCCTTGTCGCGGGTACGTCTGCCGGTTGGCGCGGAGCATCTTCAACGGTTGGTGACAACCTTGGGGATTTCAAGCTATTCAGAGGCAGAGAGCGAACCGCCAAATGTCGCATCACTTGTCGCCCTTTCCTCAGATAGTGGGTCCGGCGACCGCCCAGCGGAGGATGAGAGGGAGCTATCCCCATTTCTAGTAGTGTCTGACATGTTGCCTGTGGAGGCGTACCAAGTTCTCCACGACACAGCCTATCGTGTTAGGTTACACGCGGATATGTGGGAGGGAGAGGCGGTTCCATCGAGTGCCTATGAACAGGTACCGCCTAATGAAGCCGCCTACAAACCTCAACAGGTCCTTCGCCAGCTGAAGATGCATGGTCTCCCTGTTGACTGGGACTATGCAGCTCGGTCTCCTATTGGGGGGTCTGGGTCATGCCCGGGAGGGCGGATTCCTATTCACGTGGAACAC